CCTCCCGCTGTGCCACGGGTCCGGCGGCGGGCCTGCGAGCCGCCGGGGACTTGACGACTTCGGGTTCCCGCACTGGGCCTGCCGGGCCGGCGGCCTCGGGCGCGCCCGCGGCAGGCTCGGCGGCGACCCCAGCAGCCGCGCCGCAGGCGGCCCCCGCGAGGGAGGCAGGCGAGCCCTCCGGGCCGATTCCGGCGGCGCCCCCAGTAGCAGCGCGGCCAGCGGCTCCGGCGGGCCCGGCGCGGCGGCAGTGGTGGAGGTACTTAGGATTCTCTAAATACCTCCCCTTTGGGCCTGCTGGGCCGGCCGCCTCGGGCGCGCCCGCTGGCCGTTCTCGTCGGGGGGCCGAAGGCGGTCACGCGTGCTGGTTGGCGCGCCGCTGGGCGCCGTCGAGCCGTGCTGCGCAGGCCTGGCCGCCGGCGACTGGTGCCCGCGGTTGCGGGCCCGCGGCGGGCCCGCGTATGCGCCGGGTGCCTTGACGCACTTCGGGGTTTCCCGCATCTTGGGCTCTCTGGGCCACGGGTCCTCCGTGGCGTCGCCGTGGCGCCGGGCATCGCGTGCGGACCGTGCCACCCGAGAGCGGGGACGTGTGGTCGGGCAGCCAGAGGCGAGGACCGAGGGGACCGCCTGTCGCCTGCACGGTAACCTCAATCTGGCTGCGGCGGCGCCTCTGGCCCACCAATGGCGCTGGTGCCGCCGCCGGGAGCTCCTGGGCCTGCCGGGCCCGCCCGGACCGCCCGCTGGGGGCGCGCGGGGTGGCCACCGTGGCCGCCGCGGTGGCGTTCTCCCCTTGCCCCGCCCCGGGGTCCGAGGACGCGCGCCGCCTCCGCCGAGCAGTCGGCTGGGGCCCGTCTGGCTCCCGAGCCTGCTTGCGGGAGGGGCGCTGGGCCGCCTGGAGCGCCTGGCCATGGAGGATGCCGATGACCGCCTCGAGCAGGTGCTCCTTGGCGCCGGCCTCGGGGAGGTCCTCGGGGATCGCGGGGTCCGCGGGGGCCAGTCCGCCGCCGACCACGTGGGCGATCGTGGCGGAAATCGCCTTGGCCTCGATGACGGGCTTGGGCGGCCCCTGGTGCGACGGGTAGACGCCCTTGGCGATCCTCCTGAGGGCCTCGTCCGTCTTGCGGGTGGTCTCGCCCTTGCACTCGCCTCGCAGCCCCATGCCCATCGTGGTGCCGTGAGTCCCGCAGACGCCGCAGAAGTACAGGCTGTTGGCTGGCCACTCGTAGAGGCGGTGGGAGGCGTGAACCACGCCCGCCCCCATGGCGATCTGCATGCCGGCAGAGACTTTGCGGACGTGGTCGAACGAGGCCCAGTCCGCTTCCGTGGCGGTGCAGGCGGAAGCAGCCGCCTCATGAAGCGTAGCCGCGGGGAAGAGCTGCCTGCAAAGCAGGCGCTTCCACTTGCCCTGGCCCACGGTGACGAGCTGGTGCGGCGAGTCGTCGATGGCCCGTTGGAGGGCAGAGGGGCGGGCCACCTGCTCCGCCGCGGGCCTCTCCGATAGCCATGGGTCGCCGCCCGCCGCGTCGAGCAGGGCTTGGCGGGCCCGCCGCCTGACCTGCGAGGCGATGACGTCCCAGCGGTCCGCGTGAGGCGTGCTGCGGTTGGCTGAGGCTGCAGCCGCCCCGGCACCGAGGTTGGCGAGCCTGTCGGCGCAGCAGTTGCCCGCTGCGAGGAAATGGGAGACCATCGGTTCCCCTTCATCCTCCTGGTGGGACGGCGTCCAGGTGACGCCCACCTGGCGGTTCGGGTGGGCCTGGAGCGACCTGCCGATGCGGGCCCAGAGGTCGCTGTTGGCGCCCTTGTCGAGGTTGAACCAGCGCTGGGCGTTCCACCCGTTGAGGAGCGGCATGTTGTCGGTGACGTAGTGGATGTCGGCGTCCAGCTGCTCGAGGGCGAGGACGAAGGCGAAAATCTCCCCGCGCGGGACCGTCTGCCGCCGCCCAGGGAGAGTCGCGATCGCGCCGGCTGCCAACCGCCATCGCGGGCCGCAAACCTCGATGACCGCGAGTCCGACGCCAACACGACGCCTTCGCTCGTCCGTGCCGTGCTTTCCCCCCGAGGCGTCGCCGAATATCGTGATGGGCTGGCTGCCGCCTGTGGGCCATGGGGCCCCAACGTGGACGAGGAGCTCGTCGTCGCAGGTCGGCGCCGGCGGAGTGGTGTGGCTGGCAGGGTTGACGCCCCTGAGCCAGAGGGCGGGGCACTCCTCGATGCCGCTGAGCGCCTGGGGGATGAGGTGGGTCGTCTGGTCGTAGGCGGGCTTCCCCTGGTTACAGGGACAGCGCCAAATGCGGTGCTCGAGCGTCTCCTCCTCGCCGAAGCATCGCTGGCAGACAGCGTCGCCCTGGTATCCTGCGGCAATCTGCCGCTGCCGTGGCCATTGCCCCCCAACCGCGACGAGGTAGTTGAGGGCCCACTCCTGCCAGTGGCCGTGCTTGGCGCAGTGGTCGAGCTCACGCTTGACCTGGGAGACGTCGCCAGCCTGGCCCAGGCCCGCGCCGTGGGCGCGCTGGCTGGCCCGCTGCCAGCGGAGGCGGTCGAGGTCCACAGCGAGGTCGTCCAGCAGCTCCGAGAACTCGTGGAAGTCCACCTGGAGCTGGCCGTGGTGGTCAGCGAGCGGGATTTTCCACTCCTCGTCGCCCTGCGCAGTGGGGCGCGACCAGGAGTGGGGTGACGAGGGCCGCCAGCCTGCGTCCATGAGCGTGGCGATGACCGCCGCAACAGGCCCATGGACTTTGCGCCATCTCCCCGTCCTGGCTCTGAGGAGCCTGTGGTGCACGTGGGGCCAGATGCGCAGGACGCGCTTGTGCAACTCTGGCCTGACGAGCCACTGCGTGAGCCACTCGTGCACGAGCTGGGTGCGCAGCTTGATGACGGGGTCCTTGTCACCGTAGAGCAGGGCCATGGCTGTGTCGAGGCATCGCCCAGGGCCCGTCCCCGCAGCCGCCGCCGCTGCGGAGCGCCTGAGCTGGGTAAGCCTGGAGGGCGCGATGCCCCAGACCTCGTGTCCGAACACCGCCTGCGGCTGCACGCCAGTGGTGTGGAGACTGGCGCCGAGCTTGCCAAGCCGCGCCGCCGCGCGACGAAGGCGCTGGACCCGCTTGGCACGGAGGGCCGCGCGCCTGTGCCTGGTATGGGCCCTGCGCTGGGACCTCCTGTTGCCCGTGACGACGTCGACCCCGAGGTCGACCATGTGGTGGGCCCCGTGGCCTGGGATTCCGTGCTGCCTCATGCGCCTGCCGATGTCCTTGCGAAGGGCGGCCGAGGATGCAACGAGCGTGGTCTTGGGGGAGACCGTGAGGCGGCTGTCGTTGCACTGCTGGGCCAAAGCCGCGCCGGCAGCAGCGAGGGAGTCCGTGACGACCGCCTTGGTGCCCTCCGCGCGCCAGACGGTGTCGTCGATGTACGACCAGATAGTGGTGGCCTGGGCCTGGGCCTGGGCAGCCTGCAGGATGGGGTACAGGAAGATCTTGCCGAACCTGGTGCCGTTGGTGGAGCCCGCGACGATGGACTGGCTGGCGAAGATCGGGGGGCCGACCCATGCCCCTCGCTTCAGGTAGCGCGGCGCCAGGAATGCCTCGACCTCCAGGGCCAGGACCGTGGGGGAGAAGCCGAGGTCGACCGCGCGCTCGATGAGCCAAGCGAGGTCCAGCGAGTCGAAGAACTTCGCGATGTCGGCGTACAGCGAGGCGTGGTGGATGCCCATGCCCTGGGCCGTCTCGTCAAGAGTGGCTCGGTAGAGGGCCGCGCGCAGGGCGGACGACCCCTTGATGGCCGTGTCCCAGTGGTCCTCCAGGCCCTGGGTCCACTGGTCGACGATGCCACTGCGCGCGCGAGCCCAGATGCGCACTGGCATGGGGAGCAGGCCGAGAACCCGGTCACCTCCCGCAGGCTTTCCCGCTACCGCTCCCAGGGTGCCGTTGAGCTGCGGCGGCCACATGCAGTGCGCCTCAGCCTGGTGGAGGACGGCCAAGAACTGCTCCTTAGCGCAGTCGGGGAGGCGCTCGACGTCCAGCGAACTGAGCCTGTCGACGCCCTGGGCCTTTCGGGGACCCAGCTTGCCAGTGGCCGCGTTGAGGCCGTCCACCGTGATGGGCTCGAGGGTCTCCTGTGCCGCGAGAACACGGAGCGAGGCCAGAGCTACCGGTATGGCCTTCGTGCGGTCGGCGGGGGCGGTCCAGACCTTCTGCCATGTGGTGGACTTGGCCAGCATGACCTCGACGGGGTCCGCCAGGGTCCCGCCTTCGGTGGGGTCTTCGAGCCGCTCCAAGTCACCGTCCTTGGTCCAGCGGTGAAGCTGGCCCAGCGTGGCCTTGGCCGCCCAGGTCGCAAAGGCTTGGCGCCCGTGCTGGAGGGCCCTTCGTGCGGCGTCGCCAGCGAGGTCGAGGGCGAGCTGCCTGGCGGCCGCCTGCCCCTGACGGGGCAGGTCGAGGATCACCGTGGCCCTGCGCTGGTAGTCCGCCAGCTGGTCCGTGCGCTTGGTGGCCGAGAGCTTGCCGATGTCCGCGAGGGTGCTGCGGTGCAAGTCGAGGCGCCACAGCAGCTGTCGGTGGTCCTTGCCGCTGGCAGCCAGCGCGAGGATGGCCGCGAGGTTGGCGCTGTGGGTGGCCCAGGCGTCCGCCTCAGGATGGTGGAGGTGGGCCCTGCCTGGGCTAGCCGCCGTCTGCCTCCAGGTGACGCCACAACCGCGCGCCCTGCCCTGGCGGGCGGCCCAGTTCGCCTTGTCGCAGCCCTCGTGCTGGAGGATGGCGGCCTCGACCTGGGTGACCCAGCTGCCGTAGAGCTCCGCAAGGGCGCGGGCCTGGTCCTCGCGCTTGTCGAGGAAAGGGTGGCAGAGCAGGTCGGAGTGAACCTGCACAGCGCTGTGCCGGCAGGGTGCGGCACCGAGCCAGGTGTCCAGCGGGACGAGGAACGGGGCAGCGGGGGTGTCGCCTGGGGCCTGCCCTTGCGACGGCGACGGCGCCGTGGGCTGGCTGGCGAACCCGTGGGGCGCGCCCTGGGTCGGCGGATCCTGCCCCCGCTGCTGGCCGTCTTCCTGCCGCTCGATGGCGCCGCCAGCGACGCCGGGTGCGCCCCCAGCCGTGCCGGCAGCAATTCTGAGCGCGCAGCCAGGGGCGCTCAGAATTCCAGGAGAGGCCCCTGGCGGCCCGCCATCGGCGCCGGGTGCGCCCCCAGCCGTGCCGGCAGCCTGCAACAAAACTGAAGAACTGGGAGGCCTGCTCGTGTAAATGCAGCCTCCCTGGGACGTCGAACAGCTCGGCCCCTCTCCACCAGCGAGGGCGCCCCTTTCATCAGGCGGGCCGACCTGTAAATGAACTGAAGAATCGGCAGGCCTGCTCGTGTAAGTGCAGCCTGCCTGGGACGCCGTACTGCTCGGCCCCTCTCCACCAGCGAGGGCGCCCCTTTCATCAGGCGGGCCGACCTGTGATAGAACTGAAGAGCCCATAGTAGTACAGAAACCGGCCCCAGCGGCAGCGCTGCCCCCAGCGGCAGCGCGGCCAGCGGTCCCCGGGGGAGTGGGAAGATGGAGCCCCGGGCCGTCTTCCCACTGGGCGAAGCCGTCTCCAGCGACCCCAGCAGCCGCGCCGCGGGCGGCCCCCGCGAGGGAGGCAGGCGGGCCCTCCGGGCCGACTCCGGCGGCGCCCCCAGCAGCAGCGCGGCCAGCGGCTCCGGCGGGCCCGGCGCGGCGGCAATGGTGGAGGTACTTAGGATTCTATAAATACCTCCCCTTTGGGCCTGCCGGGCCGGCGGCCTCGGGCGCGCCCGCGGCAGGCTCGGCGGGGGGCCGAGAGGCGCCGCGTTGGCGCGCCGGCGGGCGTCGAGCCGCGTCGAGCCGCTGCAGAGCCGGCGCCGACAGCCCGCGGGCGGTCCCGGCGGCGGGCCCGCGAGGCGCCGGGGACTTGACCACTTCGGGTTCCCGCTCTGGGCCTGCCGGGCCACCGGCCTCGGGCGGGTGCCCCTCGACAGCGTCGAAGAATTGCTCTTCGGCCAGGTCGTCGAAGGGGTCCCAGTCGCCCGAGAGGTTGGTGCGGGCGACGGCGCCGGCGTGGCGGGGGCTGCGTAGACCCGCAACCTCCGCGTGACCTTCCACCTGGGGCGAGGTCAGGCAGTCGTGGAACTGGTCGAGGTCGGCCTGGGCAGCAGGGAGGGGGCCGCCCCCATCCGCCGGGGGTGGGGCTGGCCGTGGGCTGGCGCCATGGCCCACGGGATCCTGGCGGGGGCTGGGCACGGCAGCAGTCGGCCCACAGGCTGGCGGGCCCTCCGCGCTGCTGTGGCAGAGGCCCAACTGCACCTCCTCGAAATCGGCGCCGAGCTCTGCCGGCAAGGCCGCCGCCCGCCGTTGGAGCGCGGCATGCCTCTGCCTGGACCTCTTGCTGTTGGGGTCCGCCGCCGCCTTGGCGCGCATGGTTGCCGGGAGGCTGCGCGGGACGTCCAGCGCCTGATACCACCATCTCTGGTGGGCGCCGTGGAGGGTGAGCTGAAGCCCGCAGTGCGTCGCCCACGGCACCTTCAGGAAGGCCTTCAGCGAGAACAAATGCTGGTGGCCGTCCTTGGCGAGGCCGTAGTCCAGCAGGCGGCCCTGCCCTTTGTCGCACGTGGTGGCGACGTCGGGGGCGATGACCGCGCCGCCCAGCTTGGCGACCCAGCCCGACTGGGCAAGCTGGTGCGGCTCGTGGTTCCAGTCGCCCAGGACGATCCACGGGGCCTTCTGCATCGCGAGGAACGCCCCCAGCGCGACGAGGGTGTCCCTGTTGCGCTTGCCGAAGCCGAGCGCAGGGTGCAAGTAGAGCGCCACCGCAATGATGTTGCCCGACGCCGTGTGCAGGACCATGGGGGCGAAGCCGCAGAGCGCAGCGCCCTTGGCGCCGCGCCAATGGTCGAAGGTGGTGGCCTGGAGGTGCGCGCGCACCGCCATGAGCTCGCCTCCTGTGACGCCGCCCTTGCCCGTGGAGACCCCAGGGGAGTACGTCGCCTTCCAGCCGTCCTTGCGGAACGTCTTGATGATGGACTTGGAGTGGTTCTCCGCGCGGTGCAGCTCGACGAAGGCGATGCCGTCGAAGCGCTCGGCGCGGTCGGACTGCAGAAAGCCCTTGGCCTGGGGGCCCCACTCCGTGATGTTGCCGTAGAGGACGGTAACGTCCTCCTGGCCCGTGTCAGGTACGTTGCTGGCCTCCACTGGCGGCCGCGGGAGCAGCAGGAGCAGGAGGCCCGCCAGCCGCGCCTGCAGGCTGCCCAGCCAATGCCTCGCGGCCAAAGGCCTCCGCGTCGTCCCCTGCCGCACGGACGGCCTCCTTGGACAGCTGGGAGCCCTCGGTGTCGTCGACCTTGGCCCGCTTGGCGGCGAGCGTGGCCGCCTGGTGAGCCTCGGCGCAGCGCTTGGCCGCATTGCGGGCGTCCTCGTCGTCCTCGGGGACCTGATGGCCAAGGGGCTCGAGGAAGGCGCGGCTGGAGGCGGCGGTGGCCCAGACCGTGACGGTGGGGACATGGGCGACGGTTGGCGCCGGGGCCTCAGGCGGTGCCGGCGGGCCTCGGTCGCGCGCCGCCTTGGCCTCCGAGACCTTCTGGAGGAGGCGGTCCCTGGCCTCCTGGAACTGTTGGCTGATCTCGAGCGCGTCGGCGCCGTCGAGGCCCTCGTCGTAGAGATGGTCCTCGAGCTTCGCCACGACGTCCTCAAGGAGGGGGATGACCTCCGACTCCTTCCCGCCGTGGAATCGCTGCTTGCCGAGGTCAGCGAGGAGCACGCGGGCCGCCGCGAGGTCCTTGTCGTGCTTGGCCTGCTGCTCCTGCTGGAGGGCCAGCTTGACCTCGAGGTGCGCGATCTCGGCCTTGGTCGCCTCCACGTCTTTGCCGATCGCCGCAGAAAGGCCCTCCAAGCGCTTGACGTCGCGGTTGCAGGCGTGGTAGCGCTTGCCGAGGGGGAGCGTCTCCTGGCGCTTGGTGCGCAGCGCCTCGAGCTCCGTCTTCCAGCGCTGCACGTTGTCCTTCTCCGAGTCGCCCATGTGCTCGCCCGCCTGAATGAGAGCCGCGAGCTTCTTGATGCGCACGAGGTCGTCGGCGTCCTCTGCTGGGGGCGCCGCCGCTGCCAGAGGCGGCGCTGCGTCTCCACCAGTCGCGGCCGTTGCGCCCTCGCGCCGAGCCTGCTCGAGGTCCTTGTCGTGCTTGGCCTGCAGCTGCTGGCGGATTTTGACCTCCATGGCCTTATACTGCCAGGGCGCGAAATCGCCCGTGGGCCCGG